TGGTTGGGCAGACTTCGATTTGACTTGCTGTTTGGTTGGAATTGGGTTATGCAAAGAGCTAAAGTTATGAACCACGAAAAGAAATCTCTTCAAAATCAGTTCAATTTTCAAAAGGACAGGATATTGTTAAATTTATTGCAAGTCCCTTACTATTGGTTTCTGAAACGTTGTAGCAATTCACGTGCATTACAGGTCTTTCCCAGCTGAGCAGCTTAATCTTACGACCTGTGCACCTGGAAATATTTAATATCTGTTTCCGTGACCGTAACAATTACTGTGGTTTAATGATCGGATGTCTGAGTGACTGATTTAGACCTCGTGGCACAGTTTTAGTTCGAAGTACAGCTAAAGCAATTTAAACTCCGAACTATGGGAAAATAAACAGTAAAATAATTTCGAGTATCAGGGAGTCATTTTTGGCTTTGCAAGACGCATCGTTAAAAGACTCAAAACACATCACCCTGCATTCAAAAATCAGTTGTTAGAAAAATTATTCTTAAGCACAGGCTTAATACGTTCACATGAGGTTAGACTACGTGAGCGGTTAAAACGAATTAAATTATTTTACATACTTTCATTAATGTTTGTTAGATCTTGACTAAAAATTTAAGCCATACGTATATGATTGAAAATTGGGAGCTTTGTTGAAGCAATCAGATGTTGCTCCATTATGAATCACCAGCAGCTGCGCAAATTCGTTAATTAGTAGGAATTTTTTGAAGTCCTTTTTTTACAAAATTTAAAACTTGGCTTCGGTTACAGGTGATTGGCTAACAGTTTTGTTTTTAATTTAGCTGCATTTTGTAAGGTTCCTGTGCTTTTGCTAATGCGTTTTAACAGCTCATCGAGTGCATAGCCATTATTTGTGTTGCATTTAGCCAGGAGAGAAGAGAAACTGCGCCGAATTGCTTGAAAAGCACAGCACTGAGCTCTTCGCGATGGCACATCGACAGTCCGCAAACGCCGACTTCCCTGGTCACAGTTCGCGTACTTCTTTTGACACGCTTCGTTTTTTGCTACATTTATATTTATTAATTGCAGCAGCATACAATAACTGACCGGTTCATAATGTGGTTCTGAAGATGGCAAGGTAAGTCCTGAAAGTTATTTCGGATTAAGAGACTTTATATGCCCATCTGATACTTTTTTTGTGACCTCATACCAGGCTGCGATCGACCCGCACTCATCCACAGTCAAAACAAAGAAATATTTGTAAGATTTTATGCCGGAAATTGGGGTGTTGCAGGAAAGAAAAAGGACTCTGAGTTATTTGTAACAGGCGTTCGCATTTGCAAGAATCATTCGATGTACCACCTCACATTCAAACTTTCAAAATTGGAGTGACGGAACAAATGGCACAATAAAATCTGCAAACTCTGGTACAAAACAGCCTTCCGATTCTTAAATGTGCTACATTCTCCTGTGTATAATCATTAATTGATCTAAGCTATAATGAACGTTTCGTACAAATCTGCTCAAAGTAATCTATGATGTAAAAAGCCTGCTAAAACAGTACAAGCACGATTTTGGTCTGGAAAAGTCGGCAAAATCCAAGAGTTACTAAAACAGAAAAGGTACTAAAGTAATGTCAGATTTACTTACTTTAGTATGCAAGAGATTGAATTAAAAACTACCCTACAAACTCAGTATTTGCATTAAGTATTTTGAGGTACTATTGCCACGCCAAACCTCCTGTTAACTCAGTATTTTAGTGCTGTTTAATCTTCAGTTAGAGATTACATGGTTCTCACATATTTTGACTTGGGAACCGTGTAGAGTGCTTCGTGGGTTCCAAAGGTAGAGCTTCGAGTGTTCGTCTCAAAACCCGCTTTCGCCCAAATACTTTATCCTATTTAACCAACCAGTTGATTCAATTCCGTAAAACATTTCAGATTTTATAAACTGACAATTTGACCGATCCACGAGCATGCTGGGAAGGCAAAACGATTCAGTGAACACGGGAGTTCGCTTGCCCACAGGAAACGATCTGCTTATTTACGTTAGTAGTTCCATGACTGAGATTAAGGGGGTAATCGTGGTTGGGGGGTGTTCGTTGCTGTTTTACTGTTGCAGTAGATTGCACAAGGATACAGGCAATTGGAAACATAAATGAGCGGACAGTTGGAAGCCCGAATAGCCTCTTCAAAGCTAGTCACTTTGGTTGATCGGCCATCGCCTGCTGAGAATTTAGGCTGACATTTTAACGCACGCAAATTAAGCAATGTCCCAACTACCACTCGCATAAATTGCTGCACTACTTTATCTGAGCAATCGCATTCGGTTACTGTGGTGCTCTAGAACTCCACTCTTACCTTGAAGGTAAAATTTAATTAGTAAAGTTAGCCCCTGAATTCTAGTCATCACGATTTCTAAGTTGATGCAGATTCCTATTAGAAGGTTTTGAGAACCACAAATGGAATTTAGTTTGTGACCTTGCCGAAATCGTTACAGAGCTCTGCCTGCTACGTTACTCGCTCACTTATGATGTAAATCAGGCTTCTGTGAACGAAGTATTACCAATCATGGGTTTTCTGTTGATGTTACAGCTAAAAGTCATGAATGTGGTGACAAATGCAATTAATCTAAAAACTTTTCATAGTAAATCTCAATCAGGAAATGGTTTCCTTTGCACGTGCGACCAAAATATCACGTGCTTATGTGAAAATTCGAATCCCGTAATCTGTCCGGTGGCATCGCGAATCGGCTAAAATGCGTGTCTACTGACGCTGTTGCTTCATTCAGATTTTACATTGTACTGAATTATTTTAAGTACAGTTACTAGTTAAACCCAAACCTGTGGTGTTAAGCTGCTGCGCCGTTCCACAGTATTTATTTTTTCTATTTGGTTTGTGGCATAAATTTATAAATTCAATCATAGTACCCACTAAACTCCTGTAAAAATGTATCGCCTTCTAAATTAGGTAAAAAGAACTCGGTAAGTAGGTGAGAATATAAGCTGAGAGTAAGCCTTAAGTATTATAACACTTGCCATGTTACTTTAGTCTAAGCAGTTGTTTTACTCTTCGGTTTCTCAATCATCGCCATTCAGAATTTGTGGAGTCCGCAAACACAGCTCTGTAAAAATATGTATCACCTGGTGAAGAATTCGAACAAGTTTGTTGTTGAAGAGGTATAGATATTTTATGCTTGTTATGGAAACGCCATTTTAACATCTATAGCTGCCTTTCATGGTTTGACTCTTTTGGCCTCGTTGCGTATACCTGTACGTAGGAAAAATAAAACTAAGTTGACACCTGTTGCATACAAGTACTGCAACGTTGTCCCAAGTGTCTTAGTTAACTTGGGGCAGAATATTTTGTCAGCTGGTGTGTGGCAGATGTTAGTTCATTCTACACAAGTATTTGCCCAGCCTGCTAAACTATCGGAAAAGCCAGCCTTCCTCAAGTATTTATGCTTCTGTTATTATTCAAGTACACCAGATTTTATATCCAACTTTCAGTTTATCTTAAGTGGGTGGACTTAACATGCGAACAAGGACTTCGACACTAACACCAATTACTTCCCCCACACTGTTTAGTATTGAGAAGGCTGGGATCTGCGTTTGTCTTGTGATTTATCTAACTCGAGATGCTTTTGGTTACTGATGCACGTAACATTGCACGGCCCTCTTTTCGACTTCCGTTTAAACAAAGGCCAAGGTTAAAAGACCGAGTTTGCATCACATTCAGGTCTGTGAAATCGTTCTTGGGCCGTACTTAGTAGTCAAGACTACTTCATTGTTAAGTCAGGTGCGTGTGTCAGGTAGTGGGGCTAATTTTCAGACATTTGGTTTCTAAAAGAACACGAAATTCGTTGATGTCACGGTAGGATTGGAAATGGTTTACTTGAGCTCGAGAGATCCTCTGCACTGCACAACCTCTTCGTTGAGTGCCCTCATTATTGAGGGCTTTCTTTCCAAGTAACATACTAATAACAGGCGATGATCTAATGCTTGTGATGGAAATCCGATATTACTGGAAACATCGCTGCAGGTTTTGTCGGGATTAATTCGATAGCACTGTAGACGAGCGAGGTCACCATCCTAAAGTGCTTTTGGACATTGTTACCTTACTCCTCTAACTTGCATCAGCTTCTGTCAACTACGAAGTTTCAGTTTTGATGTCGTCAGACGAATTGCTGATTAATTTTAAATTACAATGAAGGTACCAAAACTTGCCCATTTTGCTGATTAGTTTTTGATTTGGAGGGAATTATCCTACAGTTCAGATTACATAGTAGAATAATTAGGTTCGAATGAATGTTTGAACACTTAAATAACAGCTGAAATGTGTCAAATGCTGTGATGCAAATCAGCTTGGTAATGCAATATATTCTATGACATTTCTACGGATTTATGCTTCGTTTAGGAGTACCGTAATTCGGGCAAAACTCGGCATGCATAATCCCAGAATCCTCGCCCCCGGTGCTCTTGAGGTGAACTTGGATTTGTCCGACTTGGCAAATATTTTTAACAATAATTCACTGTTTAATCGTATAAGTCCGATTTTCCTAATGACTCCATGTGTTTTGGGATCCACTATATTCACAGAATTATGCCTGACATTTTTTTCTTCAATAATTGGTGAGCTTAAATAAGAACCAGGAGATAAGCCGGGTCACTTCCCTTCGTTTCTTTTAATCGAAGAGAACTTTCCGGATGAATTCTTTCCAGTGCAAAAGGTGGTTGTAATTCCAAAGGTCAATCGTTGTTTGAATTGTTCGAAGCACTGTTCAGGGCAGAGCCATGTTTACACTGAGAGCATCGACAAAGAGACACTACATTTATCCATGTGCGCATTTCATCCTAGTTTACTGAGCCCTAACTAACATCCAGAGCGACTTATCTGGCCGCTTCTCAAAGTATCTAAAGCAAGTAAGTGTATTAATAGTTTACTATACAGAGTAAAGTTCAGAGTTTGTCATCACTGGGTAATTCGCTTCTGAGTAAATGAAAGCTAATGTCTTTTACATATTGCACGAGGTGCGGCGTCCTCTAAAGCTCACGTTGTTGTCGCAAAGCCGACTTGATAATTTGCTGCCTCACATATGTTCGCGTCACCCAGGCAGGACGTCTAAAGACAATAAAAAATGATTGCAAAACCTGAAAAATTCAAATTAAACATCCGCAGAAATGTTTCAAAAATCTTACTCTATTTTCGAAGTGGCTCCATTGCAGAAGGTTGCTGCACTGAACAGAATCGAGAACGCCGTCATGGTTAAACCTGTTTAAAAAATAAAAATAGTTCGCTACCAACTTCTTCAAGAATTTTTACCGTCTTTGCGAAGACATCAAAGTCATGTGTACGTTATTACGGTATAGTAATTTCCATGCCATCGAAAGGATGTGCAAATGATGGCAAGATGTGTTCTCATATCTAGAGTTGACCTTGAATTGTCGACTGTTCCAAAAAGGAATGTATTTCACTTACAAGATAATTTTACCGAAACCATGCAACCTGTTGTTGAACTTTATGCGAGCCAAGTTCTTTCGAAAATATTAGCCAGAAATGTTTCATTAGTGACATGAATTCGATGTGTCACCAATTACAGCCCACGGATTCTGATTTATGTTTGTGTTTGTGGTCCGTGGATAATAATGAACATAGAGAGTACCTTACCCAGAATTTTCCCTCGTTGTGCCGTTGAGTTGATGGTAAGCAGTCAGCTGCGCTTGGGGTGGTGGTTTCGAATTTCTCTCCGCGCAGACTGGGATTGTCTGACTTAGGGTGTTTATGTGAGAGAACCACGGGGGCTGCACCACACGCCCCTCTGAGTCCGTTTTCAAGGGCAATTTAGATACCGAGCCAGCGTTATTCTCCCTGTCCTCTTCTTTTTGCTGCATATAGCCTGAAAACGAGGTCAGGGGTTGCTGGTGGCTGTGGGCGGAGTGGTGGTGGTGATGAGCAACATAGCTATGTTGGTCGGCCGCCAAATTGTAGTTCAGTGGGCTGCGAATAACCCGCACTGCACCATCGTAGATGTCAGCTTCGTGCGTCTGGAGCAGGGTATTTGGTACACAGTAGTCAGTGCACTGGCCTTGTCCGCTGGCTGCTGCGACAACGGCGGCAGCTGCCACAGCGGCCGAGTAGGCCTCGTAAGCCGAGCTGTAGTCGCTGTTTCCATAAGGAAGGGCGTACGTGAAACCGGCTGTCTGGGAATGGTCACCACCCAACATCCCGCAGTAGGCATCTTCCTCAATTTTAGGGCGTTCCAAGTCCCACCCCTGATAAACGCAATTGTGACGCGCGGCGGTGCCCGTATAACCGTACATGGCGTAAGTTTGAGCGTAGTCATCTTTCGTTGCTGTCGTGGCGAGAAAATTTCTGCTTAAAAGGTTTCGGTAGTTGTGCCAGCCGGCAGTCGAACCGCCACTCTCAAGGTTTGGATAGTAATTAGACGCCGAACGACTCATGCTCTTTGATACAACAGTGGATGCTTTAACGGGCGTTTTCCTGCGACGAGTCGTTTGAAGGTAGTTTTTCAGTTGTCCCTTAAATTTTTTGTTTCCCGGCGACTTAACTTCGGCTGTGCTGTTTGTCTCCTGGCCTGTGCTTTCAAAGGAGTTCCATAACTTTCTAGAACCCACGTCCTTTTCTGACTCCACCTGAGGCGAAGCCTTCAGTTGAGGATCAGACGAGTCATCAGTGAAGGGTTTCACTTCGGGGACTGGTGCAGCCTCTCTTACTGTTATATCATTACCGTTGATATCACCTGAATCGTCTTCAGACATCAATGTTTCGGGTTCAAGAAGGGGAAATGGGAGTTTGTATTCTGTGTTTCGACGGTAGTAAAGTTCATTACCTTCCGTATCGCTAAAGAAAGCAAGAAAAAACTCTTCATTCAAACCTCAGAAAAACCACACATTTGGTCAACTTTGAATGCACATACTCTAATTTTCGATGAATCGCCACGATATGATCGGCCTTATTGTCCTTGTACACCACCCTTAGCCGCGACTGCAGCCACACCCAAGTCCCGGTGTTCGAGAGCCAACGGTGTGACAGGAGGCCTATAGAGCCTTGTTTGCATACTGGAACAAAAAGAAGACAGGTTTCTGTTTTGTTGTTGGAACAAACCGTTGTGCGTCGCTCGCATTCTTATTCTAATTTATCAATAAAAAACCCTCATTTCCATCAGATTCACCAACTGTCTGTATGTCCGGCGATTGACAAGAAAATTTGGGTTGCGCTGGCCTGTCACTACAGCTCACATCACACACACGTGCTGGCAATCTTGTCGTACCCACTGAGGACAATCTGGTGACACCGTACCTGAGGGGCCAGCCTAAATGGATACGAGGGGGAGGTGTATGGTTTTTGATGCTGCCTTAGCCACCGCAGAAAAACCTCAGCGGCGCGTCTAGACTGCGAGCTGCATATTTCCTTAATCAAGCGGGACGGAAGAAAGGTGGAATATGCACACAACGGTTTTTCTTTCCTTTACTTAATTTCATTGTGCATTGTCTAGGCCTCACTTAAACAACACGAACTGAATTTCCACTACTCGTGATTTAAATATTTTCTTTAATTTAAGGTGCTTTATATTTTAAAAATGATTCTAGTTTAAAAAAATATACGGCAACTGACCTTCACGATGGCCCTGAGCCACGTAGCTAAGATCATCCGGGTGAATCAGGTCGTACACCTTGATGCGGCAGTCATCGTTCCCGTTGAAAGTGAACATAGAGCGGGCACTAAAAGAAGGTGAACAGCGCTCTATAAGACGTGAGCTTGGCTCTTGCTCGAGCAACAGACGTTTTTAGGAAAGCACGTGTTTCTCTTCCCTTTCAACTATCCCAAATAAGATCGCGACTCTGGCAAAAAGCTAAAATGATTGGGTTTTAGTCCTTTAGGGTTCCAAAAGCCCTTCCTGAGTTGCGTGACATAGTTGAATAAAAACTCAACTCTTGGAAATTAAATGTGTTCATTTGGATTCTATTTACACAAATTATAATACACTATGAAGCAACTAAACATTTACTGATCAAAATATGAATTGAGCCATCAACCATGGCTGTTTAGGACAAAATGAACCACGGAACTAGGTTCTCTGCGTAGCTACCAATCCGAGCCCGAGCAAATACAGAGTCAACTAACGACTAATGCAAAAAGACGCTCTAGAAGGCCTTGTATTATCTACTTGGTTCAACATCTTCATCTCTAACCATACTTCAGTCCCTTTTGCACTGCTTCGAAATGTAATCTTTCGTGGTTCTCTAATGATCATTCTGATGCCTTATTGGAGACCAGTCCCAACTTACACTAACATAACGGTGCGCGATTATGCTGAAGCTGAGTCAGGACTGGTCAAAAGGTAAGAGCATTCAATTACTTTCAAACTAACATCAGTTAATGCTTCACAAATGTGAATGTGCTACCTTAGCTAACTTGAAATCACGTGAGGAAAATGTCTGTGACCTGTGCCTGGGCCCGCCTGAGGTGACAACATTGCTGTCGGCTGAAGGCACACCCAATGTCTAGTCCTCGTGAAGACTTTATGCATAGTTTAAAGGAAGCATTTTGTTGTAAAAATCGAGAATGAAGAACTAGTGCATTGTTTTGGCGACCACTAATTAGTAAAGCTATTTTACAATACCATCAATCGGGGTGGTAAAACGGCAACACGAAAAGATCGACACAGCCGTTCATTCGACAACATGGCCTGTTCATTCTGTGTGGGGGAATGTGCCAGTGTGCATATAAATGTAGTGTGTCACTCTAGTTACAAATGTCCCTAAAAATTCACCAGATGGGCTTTTAAGCAGAAATCAAATAGTTGAATTTGAGGGTAATTTGCTTGTGAAAAGCGAAGACATTCACGAATTGGAGAGATAAATAAATCACTTACCGGGTGTCCATGCTAGTGATTGTGAGGTCCATCTTATGTTTTGTTTTAAATGAAGTCTCGCGTTGAGACCCGTCTAGACTTGGCAGTGATCCAAGCGGACTGCAAACACCGAAGAGACCGAATGAAGAAAGTGAGTAGACCGAGGGTGCTGTCGCGTGGTCTGTGTTCATGCCTTGTCTTCCTCTTCCACCGCCTTCCTGATCACCCGCTCCTACTCTCGAGGAAGAAGTTAGCTGAAAATTGCGCGTGTGTCCGTGAAGGAATTGAAGGCGACCGCTTATTTCTAGGGTCTTGTAGAGCACAGAAGGACGAATTTTGGTAAAGTTAACCGTTTTGGGATTTCTTAACTAAAATAAATCTTTTTACTCAAATTAAGCTTTAATTAAGTTTGTCAAAATTAAGATTTTTTGAACAAACGCTGGGTTACTAATTCTTTACTGGACTGGTTGATTGAAGGAAATTTGATCCCAGCAAGCGATGCCTACTGAAAATATGCTTGATCCATCATGCTTTCCAAAAAACTTCCACATAATTTGCATACAGGGACTCACGATAAAGCCGGAGGTGTTGTCCAGCAAACAGCGAAAACGCACGGTGAAACATCGCTGTAGCAGGTGACAATAAGCTGAAATATAAGAAGAAGATACTGACTATTCCTCCCCGGGATTTTGTCCAATTCCCCCCAGTAAATCGAAGCTTAGGGGCTAAGAACTAATCCAATGTAATTTCAAGTGAATCGGAGTCATTATAAGGAGGCAATGCCTGAGCAGTCCCTTTGTCAAAGTTATATATTTTGCGCATGCCTTAGAAGAGAATCAAATCTGCCAGTAATTCAGTCAGACAGCATGATAAGGATGAACTGAGTAGTGCGTTATGAGTAAAGTTTTAGGTTTCTGCCAAGGTTCTGATCTTTTTACAAATTAATTTAAAGAGCAAAGAGGGAAGGCATATCGCGGTGTTAAAAAACTTTGTTCTGCCAGGAATAAATAAACGCAGATTTATTTTGTCAATGAGTATGTCGCAGAATGTTAGTCTGTATCATATTCAAAGCGTTCTATCCTTCAGTCTAAACGGTAATTTATGTTTGGAGGTAAAATGGTTTTCGGATCAGATGTCCCTAGTAGCCGCAGAGAACATCATATGTTCATAGATGGTGCTTCCTTCTGTACGATGCCAGAAGCCATGTCCGGTCGCATGATGAGGCGGTGAAACTAACTTCGTAGCTCTCTACCTGCCCCACAGATTTTGGTCTCGATGTTCCGTGGCTGCTTAAAGATATGACAATTACTCTCGCCTCTAACGGCATCACTGAACACCTCACAATGAATGTTGACAACTTTCCTTTTCTTTGACTTGCAGGGCTTTCCACTTCTGGTGTACTTTCAAGTGAAAGTCACGCACAAATTTTCAAGTGAATTTATTTATCAAGTTTACAAGAATGCTGAAACATAGTCCAGTGCTATCGAATTCTTTATGCAAAAAAAAGACAATCTCTCCTAATAGATTTTACGTGTAATACCGAACGAATAAATTAATTATAAGACCAACGATGTGCATTAACGAAGAGGGAGTTAGGTGATAAGAGAAGAATATGCAGCTGAAAAAAACCGTAAAATTCAGCAGATTAGGATAGATTTGGAAGTTGATGTGGACCCAAAGTAAATGCAACAGATGGCTTTCAGCCTCCATCAAGGCTTCGATGAATCCTCAGGAGCTGTTTGCATTAATTTACGGGTTAAAGATTCTGTCGTGAGATGGAAAAAGTGATCATCTCAAATTCTGAGTGGTTGTGCCTCCCTAAATTTGTGCATTGAAATTCCCGAAATATCCAACTTTATGATTGTCCAGTTTTTGCATTAAAGGAGTCATAACCCACACGTTAAATCATGTTACATTAGGCTTGACAATAGTGTCCTTAAAGCAATTGCCCGCCTGCTTTGAGGTGACTGCCAGCACTCCCCTTTCTGGTACCGTTGGGTGGACTGAGTGGGTGCGTGGCCATTTCTTCTTTCAAGGGAGGAAAAGCACTTTCTTGCAGAATCCATTAAGAGGAGCGTTACCTGTGGTACAGAAGCACTGTTGCTGCTTTCAGCGACCCGCCTTCCCCTTCTGTATCTTGGTCCACTCCTAAAAGCAGTTGGGGCTAAAGTGCTATCAGGCGATGAATCAGTGGGATTTAGTTTACGATAACAAACGGTGTGATGGGAAAAGAGCCCAATAAAAATTTGGAGACCACCGGTGGTAGACTGCCACTTGTTGTGTCAGAGGCTTGACGAGTAGTATTAACGCTTTCATTATCACTACTGTGAGGTAGCCTGGAATGCCACATGGACATCTGTTCCCTTTAAGGAAATTAAACTGGCTATAGTTTCAAAAGTATGTTGAATTAGAAAGCGCCTAAATCGATATTCGATGTGTTGCTACGTAGACTTTCCTTGATGCAGAAGGGCGTAGAATCTTTGCATGAGCATACCTGGTGAAAGAACCTCCTGCAGTGTGAGGTGTCGGTGTTCGAGAGGGAGCATCGCTTGCCAGGAAAGCTGCCTATGGAACTCGTCTCTGTCCTCTGAGTGAATTAGTTCCATCACGCTTTGGTGCAAGATATCGGACTGTAAGTCAAATAATAAATAGAATATTATACATTATTTTAAGCGCTGAGATGTTGAGACTGCATCCTTATTTTGGGAAATCACTAAAAATACACTTTTTCTTATAAAAGGACTCCAGGGAACGACAAACTCGTGGACCTATTAATTTAAGATTTTTTCATACCACTAAATCGAGTGCCTACATTATATTTTAGTGAGTTATCCAAAGGCAAGTTGATCGGTTTGCTGAACCAATTATGCTTCTTTCTTGGATCCTTCATGATTATTCGATGAAATTGGGGTATAAGCCCACTCCAAAAAAGACTACTAATCATAGTCATTTTTACAATATCAGCCTGTGTGGAACATGTCTGAAGCAAAAAAATTTTTGGCTGAGAGAAGAACTCTTGTGTATAACTTCAAATGACGATATCTTCTTGCCGCGTGTTCCTGCCTGGTGTCAGTGTTAACAACCCACACGAAGTTTAATATATTCTGGTTCAGTGATGGAATTTTGTGTTACTGTGGACCACAGGGCTTGAGTAACCTGTGGATATCGTATTTCACTAGAATCTACTACCAAAATAGCAGTGTGAGTACCAATGGGAAAGCGTTTCTGCTCACCACCTGTTTTCGAAGCCTAAGAAAAATTCAGACACTCTTGAGTCATGAATTCGGCCCCCACCAACCTTGCCAGAAATGGTTTTACAGGTGGATGATGGTTCCACCTGGATGTCCCCCCTCACCTTCCATAAAATAAATGCAAATTCTTGTCCCCCCCCCTAGTCAAAGGGAACGTATAGAGCCCCTCTCCCAGGAATGAATCATTGTCCATTAATGGCGTATTTGCATTTCACGTTGTACGCCTATGGCCATTCCAATTGTGTAAAGTAGAATGGCCCTCTATCTGATTTAAGACGGAGAAACTTTTAAGTATTATCGCGCCAATAAATTTATCGGTTACATCAAACGAAGGAGTAACTGTAAATGGAGTTTTCTTTGCATTAACACTTCCAATGGGAGTTGGTACCATACCAAACTAATAAAGAATTATTTCGGTTAACTAAATGAAGGTAACCTGATCCTGACAAATGTTCAGAAAATCCTTGTGGATAACTTATTAATTTTTCTCTCCATTTAAAACTCACTAACAAGCCAATGAAGGAGCCGATTTGTAAATACATTGGCAGCGATTGTCCGTTGCTACTCCCAACTCTGGCCCTCACAGCGCAACCCACCAGGGTCACACTAAAGCATTCAGGCGCCACTATCCTAATCTATTGTTTAACTTGCCACATACGACGAAATAGTTTTTTTACCACAAGTTTTGTTAACACTTGGGGCAGCCCAAAGATGAGAGTTTCTCTTATCATGAAGACGAAATTCGCATGCGCTTGCGAAAGTTCGGTTAATTGCGCCGGACGCTCATCTACTCATCATTACTGGTACAATGACGACGTATGAATGTTAAGCTAGTTTTTTTACTATTCAATTAAGAAAAGGTTCGTCAAACGTAACCACTTGCATAACCATCTGGAAAGCCCCATAGAAGAGAACTTTCGTTTGATGTAATCGCCGTTCGGGGATCAATCACCAGTTCGCACGATGATCACCACCACTGCTGATTAAAATTCCGTGCATCTCGCCCGTGCTCGCAGCTGGGCTTTGTACCCTCATTACTTTTATCATCAACATTCTTATTATTATTGATTTTATCTAACAATGATTTTGCTACGTGTAATGAGACGACGAGCATAGTTTGCGGGCAAAATGGTCGCACCATTCAGTCGTGCACCCAAAACAACTTTAGTGGAACGCTGAACCATGTAATGCATTATTTGCGTATGTCTCCGGTAAACTTTTACCTACTGATTGGTGTAGGGAATAAAGAGGTGCCAGACTTCTTCAGTGCTCACTGAATTCCAGTAAAACGTGACCAACTAAGGGCTTCTTACCAGATAAGGTGGAAGGAACGATGAGATCGGGGTCCGGCCAGGAAAAATTTGGTTTTAATCAGATTGGTGCCTGTAACTAGGGCCTCGTGTTATTGCCTATGGTTCATCTCCCTGCATAGTTGTGTTTTAATTTTGGAGCTGCCATGAGCAGGAGAGGCTGCATTAAAATGTTTGAATGGACTCAATGATCTAGACGCCCGAAAGCGGACACGTGGCAGCTGCGGGGGAACAGTCGCCCCCTCACCCGTGTCCAGTCTCACATGGGACCGGGGCAACTATGAACAGTGGCACACACATTTATCAAGTTGTAGGAATCTAAACTGACACGAGACGACATGTGGCTTTCGTAGACCACTTTTTTCACCATGTGAGATTAAAGTTGTCTGCAGGGGAGGAGGTACTCGTGACCATAGCGGACATCTGGCTTGGCATTTGCCAGATCCCACACTTGGATTAATATTCTAAGATCCTCAGGATTTACTCCGTCTATGGACAACATTACTGGAAGGCAGATACATGCAGTGACAATCGAACGTTCCTCAGGTTAATAAAGACCCGAAATGAAGAAAATTTTGAATGTCACGCAGACAAATGTGAAAGGAGGAGAAATTCTAGTATACGGACCCAGTGGGCTCTGTCATTAAAACGTGACTCTTTTGCACCTTCAGTACCAGCATCATTTGTTTAAAAGGAAGATAACCACTTAGTTTGATCGCACTGGTTTTGTGGGGTCTGGTAATCTATTTTCTTTGTTATTTCGGGTTAAACATGTACGACAATGGTTGCAATACCTGATGAAATCCTAGGTAGTGTTCGACGGTCTTACACACCGAGAATACCTCGCCATCGCAAGAGACGATGAAAATAAATCCATTAAGTGCCTATAAAGGTAAAATAAGCCGATACAACAAAGCCCCAAACATCGCAACTAGCTTACTTAAGGACAAAAATAACTATGTCGTCATTCTCACCATAAGAGTGAAAACTTTGGACTCCTCTGGGAACCGTTACAATTTTAGAGAATCTCCTAGCTCTATCGAGAACCTGCACACTCACTCCAGCAATTACTGGTTATTCGGCTTTTTGAATTGAATTTTTCATAATTGGCAATGAGGCTTCTCTCCATTGTTTAAGAATGGCACCACATTGAAAAATATCGCCTAATGTCAATGGCCTAGTTCTTTTTCAGTAGTATGCCTCGTGTGCATTTGACCTCCCAAGCACTCGAGGCTGTCTTTAATACCTAAGTGCCTAACTTGATGATCCAGGGCTCTCCAGGGCCTAAGTATGGAAGCATTCTAGCAAAAACAGGCACAGTGTAAATAGAAAATTCATGGGCTCTGGGTGGTTCAGAATATAAGTTGGTGGCAGGGTGGTTACTGTGGCGAGTCACGTCCCTGAAACCCACGTGGAGATGCTAATGTGGCTCCGAAATGTTAACTTAGCAGTTCAGCATTGGTAACATGTTTTAAAAAAAACATATTTTCCAGGATGTGTCTGTTCATCCACTCTCATGCCTTTGTGCTAGTAAACGGTTATTGTTCATTAAATACTTAGAGACCAAGCTAAATGAGTCGGTTACAGGAATGAAAAACTTACTTGTAAACTGGCTTCTCCTTCCATTTGTACAATATCAAGAGGACAGTGGTAAAGGTGAGATACAAGCCTGTGCTGTTCCAGCATGGGGTGATCGTAAGTAAGAGCTATAAATACAGGGATTTAAAATAAAACTCTGGTATTCGGGATCTAGTGTGGTGCTGCAGGTATCCTAGCAAAACTAACTGAAATTCACTTTTGAAACTCACTTGAGTAGACCCAACATGTCATCTGGTTCTGCAACACCAGCAAAAAGAGGTTGACTTCAGCAACTAAGCTAGATGGTACTATCTTCGACATTAAATAAATTGAAACATCTCGCATACGGTTCTATCATTCATTTATCAAGAATAGACTCCTATTATACTATGGCTGCGAGTTATTAACGTGATTCGAAGCGCATTCCTAAACCTTTATCTAGACCTCCGGATAAAGGACGAATACTTGGGCAAAAAGTGAACCCCATAGCCCATGTGGACGGTTAAGGTGAATTTGGTTTAACAGGACAGATGGTCACTGCCCCAAAACCGCCTCCACCGCCCTTCACACCAAAAGTCCAAATTTCCATTGCTGCCATCTGTCTCTCTTTTGCAAATTTGACCAACACCCTAAACCAAATCCCCCCTCCCTCCCTACGCCTCGGCACCCGCCTCAGTCTGTTGAAGGTGGCCTCTGGTTTGGGTGCAGGGTGGTGAGTTCGCGCGCGCACGCGCGCTCGCGTTATCACTGCATCTCTCTCTCTCGAGTGATGTGTGTGTGTGTGTGTGAGGGGGGGAGGACTGAGGGATGGCGGAGGGGTGGGGTGGGGCGGGGCACGTGGAAAGTCGCCTTCGAATAAACTGGCTTCGCTAAGCGAAATATGGCATGCACGCAACGCTGCCACAGTTGCTTTTGCTGCTTCTGCTGATTTATAGCGGAGAGTTTTTGTTCGCCCATGAGGAGTGGCTGAACTGCTGAGCCATCGATTCGATGCACCCCGGCTGAATCAACAGCGGAGTAGTAAATTAAATTAAAAATAACCTGGCTATTTAAAGTCAAATGTTGAAAAGGCCTAATATTATTAGGCATTGACAAGCAGTACTTCATAGACTAAAAGAATGTAGGCAATTTGGCATGATGAGGATAAGTGGATTCGTTTGTTTTCCACTTATCCTGCTAGCAGGAAGTCTACCAGTAAAAAAATCGTCGAAGTGGATCTTCGTGACTACTGGTTGAAGGATATCGTAGTTTCGTGTTAAAACCACTTAATAACTTAAGATATAATAAAGCAAACTCAAAACTATGGAGACATTATCTCCGATAATTAGATAGCCGAAATTCCCCCGAATTTTTGTCTTGGAATGCTTGAAAAATCCCAATCACACGAAGCATTTGGCACTTTCGGCAACTTCAGCCAGATTTGGTTAGAGTTAGAACCTGTAACTCCTACACGGAACTTATTTGGGTATTAACGTAACACCAGCGACGGAGGTGGCCGCGACCCCTTATAAGCCCAAATATGATACGAAAATCAGATCACAAGGGTAGTGACATTAGCTGAAGAGCTTGTGACAATCAGTATCATGTATAATAATTTTTCTAGAAAGTAGTGCACATTGCTTGCAGTTACATTCAACCAGGCTGTACATATCACTTAGAACCCAGAGTCTCGTACGGCAAAATAATGGACCTTGCATTCAGTGCTGCAGATTTACCTTGAAAGTAGCCTTTCATCCGGAGGTATGATACTGCCAGTCGAAGGATTGACAGCTTGTCTAGTTTTGCGATAACCGACTGATCGAACGGAAGGAGGCTGGCTAGGTGTTCCAGTTCGGCATTCAGACGCTCCCTGTGACGCTTGCTGGGATTGGATTTGGTGCTTCCTGTTCCACTGTCTAATTTGTAGCCCATTTCGGGTAGTTGGTTTGTTACCCTAAAATTGCGGTGTCGAGACGTCAAATATATGCTTGAGTGCAGCGCTAGGAGCCGTTTGAAAGTTCAGGAGAGGTAGCCACTAGCACAGCTCTTGATTTACAAGTTAACAAAACCCAAGACAGCTGAATAACATGTTCTAGAAACTCGAACCAAACCAAACAGAAGGCCCAATAGCACATTTTCCAGTTTGAGGAAGAGGTTGTTTGGAGTCATGCAAAGCTTACAATGTTTGCATCGGTTCTCATGAACTCATCTCTTGAAGATGAATGTCCTTGTGCTGCAATACTCTCGTGAATTTTTATGAATCTTCACTGCATTATGAGTGTCTCTAACTAGTGGATTCTGACAACACAACAATTGTGAGTCTCGCTGCCAGTGTAAATTGGATTCTGGTAATAAACCCTAAAACCTTGACCAGCTGGGGAACTAGGTTTCCACGCAAAGATTTCGCCCTCTAAATTATTCACCTCTTCTCCAGTAAATTGGCTGACTTCATAGCCCTCCTCCTCTTCCCGCCCAAGTAAAGTAGTGGATGCTGAATTATTCATGTTTACAGTCATGGTCTTACACAGACCATAGTTGAAGTTGATAGCATTTAATATGCATTGCTTGGAAGGGCTTGGAGTTAATTCAGAAAAGTTGTTTTGTCTAATGCATTTATAACGAGGGCCAAACTTCTCAATGTTGGACTCAGGTGAGGCGATAGCTTAACCAACTTTTCAGAGGCCAATTAAGGTAAAGTTAAAATTCGTGTGATCCTATCCTAGATGTGACTATTTTTTAATTACATATTAGTAGCGAAGTTTAAGATAAGTATTTATCTTTTGAAAAAGTCTTTAGATGACAGATTCTATAAAAAACTCCCCCGACCTGGTTTACATTACGGTGGGTCTCTTTTTATGTTATGCTCCAAATTCTTTCGTTAAAACAATTGTTCAAAAGTTCTGAAAAATTTTTAATTACCTACCTTTACACCAATGAAAATTAAACGTATTTCCCTTTAAATCTAAGTGATTAATAAGATGCGAAGCAAAATCCAACGCATCATAGGAAATAACAAATTAAGATTAGATTGTTACATGCACACAGTGGTGATCTAGGAAATCCACAGTCCATAATTCCACCGGAGTTACTGCTACGGTTGTGTTTAGAAGTTCGTTTCCGAGGCCGCCATGTTTAAGGAGCATACTTAGATAAAATCTTCACCTCAACTACGCGTTTAAGTCCTCGCTCACACAAACTGAGGGGACCCCGATCTCGTCTGGGCACCTACTAAAAGCCCCTCAGATTATGGACAAAGTAGAACTCTGTTGTGCAGTTATGAAAGCTGGCAATAACGATGGTTTCAGATGAAAAAAGCATAAACGATGACCTTGATTAGGGCGCATAAGTAATCACAGCCAACTACTTTATTGTCGTAGTGTGCATTGTGGCTCTGAATGTCATGAATTCAAACTTGCTCTAATGTGGGCTGCGGACTAACCAATCATAGTTAAACATTTAAACCCGCGTCGTTAATTTACTTCGATATAAACCCACATATAATTCAAAGTTACTTTTAGGAAAGTGTACCACAGGCACAAAACAGTAACGTGATCATATACATGACTGCGACATATTGTGCTGGTGGCAGACCTATACGCCAATCGCAAGTACATTCTAATGATCTGCTTACTAACCAGGACCAAACATATATTTGGTAGAGCTAAGGCAATGAAATTCATGAATAGACACGTGGAAGCTGGTGGACTGACCTCGGTCAACAAGGTATTTCTGAGGGTGGATCAACATTTGGTGTGCAAGGCGGACTAGTAAAGTAGAGTGCTTGTGTGTGTGGTCTTGTGACCTTCAACCATCTGGCTAGATGACCTCTGCACGCAATCACGTACATTCAAATCACTGGAAGGAAATGAAGCATGTCAGTAAATCCAAGCATTGTTGTTTGGTGGTGCCCTAGTTTCTAAATTACTCTGTTCAGCACACAGCCACTAAGAACTACCAAGGTCCTGGTATTCTGGTTCAATCGTTAAAAATTTATGTTAACCAAGAATTCTTGAACAAATTTCATCAGCTGAATGCACTTAAGTTTATCTCAGAGAGTTAAAGTCACAAGGTGTTTGGACGCCCGCTTTCCAAAACTCGGCCCAGTTCTTGCGCATTCAGCCGAAGTCGATCCGATTGATACTGCAATTTAGTATGAGTTCATTGTGTTAATTGTCTGCTCTGAGAACGCGAAGAGCGGCCCTGGTAAGGCGAAACATGGACAGTCCCTGTCTTTATTTGGACACAGTTAGAAGCGCAGAAACATTAGTGATAAATCTGGTGTTTCCTTAGAAAAAATGTAAAGAGGTCTGGGAAGAGTTGGTGGGTTGTGGCACCTGGAAATTTAGCACCCCGCATCATTTATTTTTTATAAATCCGTGAATGGCACATGATGCTTCATTGGTTTAAATCATTAGTCTTTACTGCTTTCGAATAATGAGTCTTCTTCATTTCTAGCACAGTTTAAGTCGAAATTTTACCGAAAACTCCATCAGCAGACGGTCTGTTTTGTGGGGTAAAACATCTGCATTCCGAGATGCAAATTATTCTTGAAGCAGAGTCTGGCATAAGATAAGTACGAGACCAATTACTGTCTAAGCATTTATATCAAACAGCTTTTCAAGGCCTAGACAAAAATAGTGTCCAGTGGTGCAAGCGAATTGTCACACGCTGTCAGTGAAGCCAGAACAATGCGTTGAATGAGAAGCACTGACCGAAGCCCCTCCAATTGTGATTTCATGACTACCCCCCCCGCAACCCCCACCTTCCCACTCGAACTCTGACGCCCGCAATTGGCGATAGCATCGCATTCTCGCAGACTTGATTATTGCCCACAGTCACGTCCACCCCTCCCTTACTGCCTCCCCTTTCGCCACAAAATGGGCGATGCTATCGACAACAGCCATCTGTTTGGTGGTCTGACCACAAGTGACGCTGGAAGGGGATAAGGTGCAGAGATGGTACCCTCCATGTGGCAAAATACAACCGTTTTTCAATTATAACTTAACTAACAATGCCACTGGCTATCCACGTATTTCAAAATCGGATATACCCAAAGTGAAGAGGTGCCTGCATGTGTGGGCGATCGAGTTCTCAACGAAGCATAACTTACTAAAGAGTTCAATACATTGAGTAAATCAGCTTATTTATACTTGGTTGACCACCTAGAGAGAATCAAGTGACAATTTTGGTTTTAATTCCAAAAAAACTGTCCGCTGACATGATGTGAATACCATGCTAATGAGGTCTTCCAGTGACAATGGATAAGCAAAACTACAAACATAACACAATCTTTAATTCATGCCATTATAGCGCCATTATGGCGAGTTTTTTGGCGTTGGTTAATTAGAAGCTATCCTGGTCAATTTCAATATTTGGTTTGAGCTACACCTGTCCAAAAAGCACCACCAATTGTTAATTTATGTTACATGATTTTTTTATTCCTTCTTACAGTTCAACGAAAAACTGTACGATCCACAATATCCTGGACTAATTAACATTTAAAACTTATGAAAGTCAATGGTAGAATGCCGGCCAAAATAATCACAGGAGCAATTGTTTTTATATCTCTGAATAATGGAAACTTACATTTTAGTGTTCTTCCGCCTGCGTTTGGTGGCATACATGGTCTTGATAACCCAATCGTCAACCATTATGGTAGTAATATAGTTACTTTGTCCTGCCCGAATAAAAGGTGGGCGTGTTTCCACGACGTCGGCTCCACTTTTGGTCGATTGAGTAGCTCACGCGCAAAATCATCATTTCTTCCCCCTGATTGGCTACTTCCGCCCGTCGCTTCGGCCGGACTCACCCCCTACTCAAGGTGCCAGTTCCAATTGGTTAACAGACATCGCGTGTCGCGTAGGTCACCGTTGTGTGACTATAATTTTTTCGCCTGTTGATGACTCCTTTTCAGCCAGAGAGGGTCATGTGGCGCCAATCAAAGAACTGAAATGGCAAATCTGAAGAAATCATTGCGTTTTTACAATCAAAGAAAGTCATATTCTTCAAACTTGACAAAAAATCATGCCTCCTAATCCTTTGAGAGATACTTCACAAAATTAAGTTTTAAATCTGAAATCACCGAACTGCATTTCACCCTGTCAAAACACCTGTCGCGACAAAAACCAATGTTGTTGTCAGTAAGATCTACTTAGAAATCCGAAAGTGAACACAGTCATAATGGCCAAGTTTCTTTCAATAGAGTTATACACTGCCCTGATGTTCCAGCTCTTACAACCCAGACTATTGGCACAATTACATCAAGTAGTTCGTAATTAATAACAGACTCTTACGAAGTTCGCAACTAACCAATCCACTCGATAACTCATCGGCGCTAACTGCCCAGGCGGAATTTCGCAAAGGTAACCATCTTTTTACACAACAATGCCAGCGCCCTTAAGCGTACTTCTCGAGCTGTTTCATTACTGCAGGGAAAAAAGAAATTTGTCTGTCCACAGCTTTACGACGATGGCTGTGGCGTCGGAGGAATTCACTTTGTCAAATCCAAGTCGAACCTAAATATTTTCCCTTTAACAGGGCAGAAATTGTCTCAACCTTTGGTTCGTGAATGTGCCCAACCCTGGGAGTAAAAGCAAAGGAGTTTCATTAAAACACTACTGAGGACATCAGAAGTTATTCACGTCAATCCACTGTTGTTCCAGCTTACAAGCAGACCAACGCTAGATTCCTATTTTGCATGGCACGTTACTTTAACCACTACAATAATACGGGTGTGCGGGAATTTACTTGTACAATGCACTGCTCGTTTTGTTAAGGGGGTGTTACTGGTCACAGCAACGCGGGAAACAATTTGGCTGGAAAATTAATTTGCAGTCACGTGGCACAGTGAATTAACTACAAGAAAACGATTGTTTAAAATTTTCCCATCGACAAACAACTGCAACGAGCTGCCACACCTAACTAGAGGCACC